GGGGCAACAGTCCTCCGGAACTGGAGTTTTCCTTTCCGCCGGCTGGTGGGCGCCGCGGGCCGGGAGTCCGTGTCAGCAGCGCGCGGGCCGCATCGCGGGCGGGGGCCTAGCGCAGTGGAGGGGCCCGGCCGCGCTCACCGGGGAGAGCGGGACGGCGGCGGGGGCACCTGGCGTCTTCAGGCGACTCACGTCCACACAGTGAAGTGCCTCTGATCGGGAGGCCTGCTGCTCCCCAAGGCGAAGCTAAAGGAGAGAGGGACTGGCCCAGAGGCGTGTGCCCGACAGCCATCCCCCTGCGCGAATGCAGGCCGTGCCCAGCGGCCCGCTGCACGCGGCACGCTGCGGGCGGGACAGCGGCGCCGGGCACGCCCGCCCGGGTCCGAAGCTGGACCGGGCAAGGCCTCCCGCCCGCTGGGATTCAGCTCCCGAGTCAGTGTCCGACGTGCAGTAAAAACTGGGCCGGCGGCGGGGAGGGCGAGGGCTGCAGGAGCGGGTCGTTAGAACTCCACGTCCCAGCTCGAGCAGAGCCCCGCCCCCGCGCCCCGCCTCCCTGACGCGACTCTCCCCGGTGACGGTTCGCTGGCGCCCTGCGGTTTGCTGGGAAGCCGCAGACTGAGGTTCGCGGCCTGGGAGGGGCCGGGCGAGGTGTTCTTGCCGGCGGTGATTCTAGGGTGCGGCCGGGAGGAGAGGCGCGCACTCGTCTGGGTTGCCCTAGCTTCCCCGGTCTCCCGGGTCACCAGGGGAAATGGGGAAAGATACACGTTCCAGGGCCTCTCCCGGGACCCCCGGAACGAGGATCCCAGGGCCCTAGAAGATCTTAGAAGCAAGGCCCGCCCCAGGGGATGCTGTGGGATCAGTCAAGTGCAGCAAACGCCGTTGGATCAGTTTGGGGGAAGGTGTGACTGTCACCTGCCTCTCTTCTGCCTCCTCCCACCCCCTTTTTGGTATCAGAATGCGGGGGTTTGGGTGTCAGTGTGTGTAGTTCAAACTGTCCCTCCTCTCCCATCAGAATCTTGTCGGGCGACGACTAAATGAACTGGGAAAAGACAGCTGAGCGCATTCGGCTGTGTGTGCTGCTTCCCCCTCCCCCCACCTCAGTGCCTACCTTTATGGTTGAGGAGACAGACCCCCAGAGGGTACCTCACCTGCCCGGTCACAGCTTGTCAGCGCCAGAGCCCGGACAAGGCTCTTTCGTTGTATTTTAGTGCCAATTAATAACCATGATTATTTTAGGAAAAAGGTGCTTTGTAAATAGTAATTCTATGTAGTGAGGGAGAACATACGAGTACCATCCACCCTGGAACCTTCAGGAGGCTGTGTTGAGAGGACAGCCAGGCTTTTAGTGCCACCTGGAGTCAAGGTTTGGGGTGGACAACTTCCTACTAAGAAGTCTATCTTCATATGATTTGAGGACTCAAGTTTACTTGAAAAAAAAAATTAAGTAGAATATGTCTTTTAAAATATTCCCAGCAAAGACATTCATAAGCAGAGACTAGAACCAGAAATTAAATGTTTGGAAATGAAATAAAAGTCTAACACAAACAGCACGGTTACCCCAGGACTATTGAAAGGTGACTTTATTTGGTTTATTTCCTCAGGAAGACATTGTGGACAGGGAGAGGAGGAGGGAACTGTTCTTTCTATATGATGCTTCTTGAGTGGTGTCCTGGTATTTCTAAGAGCAACTGCACCAGAAGTTGGCAGCTTTTTCTTGAAACTGAGCATCGGGTTCAATTTCTAATGTCATATTGGATGCCTTAGGAATTGCTTCCTGTGTGTGTGTGTGTGTGTGTGTGTGTGTGTGAGTGATACAGACTCATTGATTTAAAAAAAAATGTTCAAATGATGCAGAAAAGTACAAAGGTGTCAGAATGCCCTGGCCTTGCCCTCAGAGTCTCTCTGGTTGTTGTCTTCAACCTTGGCTGCACATTAGAATTATTTGGGGAGGGCTTTGTTGTTGTTGTTTTGGGGAGGAAATTTTAAAAATCATGATGATTAGGCAGAGATTCTGATTTAATTGGTTTGGGATGGGACCAGGGCATTGGTATTTTTTGGTTTATTTTTTGGCTTCCCAGGTAATTCTAATATTCAGCTAGGGTTAAGCTCCTCCACACACTCCTATATAAAATAATTAGTATTGATGACAATTAAGAGCTTTCAAAGTCTGCAATTAATATGGAAAATCTAAACATAAAATAAGAACATTACTCAACCCACCACTAAAGACTCATAGAAATATGAATAAAAACAGTCGTTATACAGAGGGATGTTGATGTACACTCATCCCTTTATCCGCAGTTTGAATCCTGATGGCTGGTGTGCTTGAACTCCAGGCCTCGGATATGTCATCCAGCGAATGGAGACACCCACAGGTCTTTCACAGGGCTCTTGGGGCGTGGCACACAGTGAGTGTATAGTTATTTGTATCACCTGGGAACTGACAGGCACCACAGCTGTTATAAATCAGCACAAATAATTGGGCAGCTATTTAAAAAGCTATTTTTGGTTAAAAATTTCACTCCTGGAAGTTCCTTCTTTGGGAACTATGTGAAAAGAAGAACATGTTAATTTTCAGATATATATAGCATCATTTCTTTCTTTTTTTTTTTGTGAGGAACATCAGCCCTGCTAATCCTCCTCTTTTGCTGAGAAAGACCGGCTCTGAGCTAACATCTATTGCCAATCCTCCTCCTTTTTTTCCACAAAGCCCCAGTAGATAGTTGTATGTCATAGCTGCACATCCTTCTAGTTGCTGTATGTGGGACGCGGCCTCAGCATGGCCGGAGAAGCAGTGCCTCGGTGCACGCCTGGGATCCGAACCCTGCCTCCACGCGCGCACTTAACTGCTAAGCCACGGGGCCGGCCCTATAGCATCATTTCTTATGATAGGAAGAAGTAGGAAATGGGGAGAAATTGGAAATAAGGCGACATGAAAAAGGGAGAAACAGCTTTTAAAAATATTTAAGCAAATGTTCCTAATCCTAACGAAGCCCCTGTTGTGCCTGCATTGATTGGATGTGTCCTGGGTCACTTGCATCATTTGTGTCAGGCTTTGTGCCAAGCACCTTGCATATGTTTCAGTTTTAGCCCTCCCACCAATGCTATGAAGTACACACTGTTATGACCCCTAATTTATTGACCAGGAAACTGAGGCAGGGTGGGATTCAAATTCAGGTTGGTCTGATTTGGAGTCCACGTACTTAGCTCACCATGTTATTATACTCCTGGTCCCAAACCCTGCTTCCACTGGAAGCTGTCCAGAAGGACGCCAAAGAACAGAAACAGTGGTTGGTAAAGCTTTGTTGAGCCCTGAGGAAAAAAAGCTTGAGTAGATTATTAAGAGTTATACACGGTGTGTTTTAGCTAGCCCTAGCGGTCTAATGGTTAAGATTCCACCACCACGGCCTGGGTTCATTTCCTGGTCAGGGAACCACACCACCCATCTGTCTGTTGTCATCCTGTGGCAGCTGCGTGTTGCTGTGATGCTGAAGGCCATGCCACTGGAATTTCAAATACCAGCAGAGTCACCCATGGTGGACAGGTTTCAGCAGAGCTTCCAGACTAAGACAGACTAGGAAGAAGGACCTGGCCACCCACTTCCGAAAAAACTCATCGTGAAAACCCTATGAATAGCAGCGGAGCATTGTCTGATACAGCACCGGAAGGTGAGAGGCTGGAGCGAAAAGACCGGGCGGGGCTCTGCTCTGCTGTGCACAGGGACGCTAGCAGCCGGAGTTACTCGCCGCACTGACAACAAACTGTGTGTTTTGTATTCACTAAGAACTAAATAAGGGTAAATTAGGATAGACTTAAAAATGAAGGATTTAGGGCCGGCCCCAGGGCGTAGCGGTTAAGTGCTCGCGATCCGCTGTTGGCAGCCCAGGTTTGGATCCTGGGCCGCACCAGCGCACCGCTTGTCAGGCCATGCTGTGGCGGCGTCCCATGTAAAGTGGAGGAAGATGGGCACGGATGTTACCCCAGGGCCAGTCTTCCTCAGCAGAAAGAGGAGGCTTGGCATGGATGTTAGCTTAGGGCTGCTCTTCCTCACAAAAAAAGAAAAGAAAGAAGGATTTAGGCTGGCTACAGTGAAGAGTTTTCTGAATTAACCCTTCAGATGAGTTACTGGGAGCCCTGAAGGAAGCTTTCATGTTACAAAATAAAAGAGGCTAGATTATTACCTTTCTAGTTGTGTTATTAAATAGTTTCCCTATTTTTCTTTTGCCCAGAAGCTAGAGGGTAAATTAATTTCTCTTTCATATAATATAATAGAAATGGCCTAGTTGATCTAAATGAAGCATTTTGCTTTAACTTTAGCCAGTAATCACCGAGGTGATTGCTTTATATCACTTTGATGTGGAGTTCTAAATCTTCTGGTTTCTGTGGCAGTTTTGAGAGGGCTAGGGAGGGAGGTTGAGCCTCAGTCTGAAGGCAGAAAGACCCACTGCTCCGTGTTCCCTTGGCTTAGCGCTCACCCCATCACCAGATGCTCTAGGAGGCCACATAGATGGTGCACATTCTAGATTTGTCTGCCAATTTGGTAGGAAAACAAAGTCAAGCTTCTCAAACTTGAAAGGTGGTGCAAACCCCCCCGGGACCCTGCTGACCTGCACGTCCTGACCCAGTAGGTCTGAGGTTCTACAGGTCTCACGAGCTGCCCACGCCATGCTCAGAGCCGAGGAACACGGTCGAGAAAGCTTGGGCTTTGGAATCACACAAATTCAGTGATTTCACAGAAAACTCTGTGGCCATGGGCAATTATCTGAGCCAGTGAGCCCTAATTTCTTCATCTGTGCAATGGAGCAAGTGCCTAGCTCATGAAGTTGTCATATTATCAAATAGAGGCTATGTGGAAACTGCTGAAGTCAGTGCCCATCGCTCCTCTGCTTTGATGATGTGAGTTCCTTACGTGGTCCTCGTACATACTGTGTGTGAGTGGGGTTGACCGAATCCTCGCTTGTAGGAGAGGCACCTGTGTAAAAGGGGACCTGGGTGTGTGTGCGTGCGTGTGCATGCGCGTCCGTGTGTCACCGAGTAAGGGATTAGAGACCCTGGAGACCCTGGAGACTGAGTGCAGGCATCCGGGAACACAGCTGTGAAGCCACTGTCACACAGGTGCACTTTGTCTCCAACACAGCTATCGAGGGCCTTGTTTTTCTGGTTTTTTTTAAAGTATTTTTCTAATTCTTTTCAAACTTAGACAAGAAACGGCATGTAGAGCTGAAGATGGACCAGGCTTTGCTGCTTATCCATAATGAGCTACTCGGGACAAACCTGACCGTCTACTGGAATTCTGAACGCTGTTATCATGTAGGTATTGACTTCCTGCTCACACTTTTGTGTGCTTTGGGGCTGGTTTGATATGATCCTTGATGCTCTCATACCTGAAGCCCTTCACCTGTTAACTTCAGTTTTATAGATAAGGAAACAAATAAGCTACATAGTCAGGAGAAATATAATCAGGAGAATGCGTAGCAGTGAGCAGCATCAGTTTCTTATCTTTTCCCCTACGCATCTTTTAAAAATCCAGTTCTCAGTGATGAGAAAAACTGATAGACCGTGTTTTATTTTACTCCTCTGCCTAATGCAGAACCTTCTCGCTGGACCAGAGAAGAAGTGAGACGTCTGGGTATTCTCCAGGGGCGAAGGTAGTGAGGACAGTGAGGAGGCTCAAGTTGAGGCCGGGGCCGTTCTCCCAGGATCTGCCCTTCTGATGATAAAGAATTTATTTTTATCTGAGGTGTTACCCCTATTCTAGGCCTCGTTGCTTTTTAAGGACAAGGCTGTTCTTCCATGTAAAATAAAATGTTCGTTATTTTCAAATTAAGAGCTTCAACGTGCCTCCTTCAGAGGAGGAATTTGAATGTATAGGGACCTGTTTACTGTAAATAGCTTTAAAAAACAAACAAATCCCCAGTATGGATGAAAAGATTCTGGAGCAATACATGATACCTCCTCTGTAATTTGATTAAACCCATTGAAAGCTCTGTAAAGTAATGTGAAACAAAGAAAATCTATAATATTAAAAAAGTAGCTCAAGACAAAGAAAAGATTTATCAGCCTTTAAGGAGGACCTAGAAGAATCCTGGAAAAAATCAACAACAAGTGAATTAAAAAGCCACAAGAATCACACGTAACTCTGAGAATGGGAAAAACATTTTCTGAAAAGACTTTAATAAAGGTCCAAAATCCTCAGGAAAACACGCTGAGGGGGAAAAAGATGCATTGTCAAGGTATTAGCCGTAGGGCAAGTAAGAGCGTCTTTAGAATTAAAAAAATGTAGAATCATTGGTACAAAACAGGGACGCTGGTGACATTAAAAAATCAAAAACCAGGAAGAATTGGCTACAAGACACCAGTTCAAGGAAGAAATTGCTAATTTATTTAAAAGAGCATGGAGATGATTATGTCCTAGGAAAATGTGTAAAGGAGAGGTACAGAGTCTGTACTTAAACGTAATTGTAAAAAATGTCTCTAACTGCAAAAAAGACCTTAGCTTGGAATTTGCGAAGAAGACACATATGATCCTCTAGAGGTTAAACACCCAGAGAATGATGCCTAGACGCGAACTGTTTTAAAGTTTGAACTTTAATGATAATTTAAAATCTTTAAGCAAGTATAAAGAGAGAAGTATTCAAAGGAATGCCAATTATAATAACTTCGTATTTAGTAAACCAAGTAATAAAAATCTGGGAAGGGTGGACTAACATCTATAAGATATTTAAAGGTGACGGTACCCCCTAGAGATCAGTTACCTCGCTGCATTGAAAATGTCCTTTCCTCTTTGTCTCGCGTCCCTTAAAGTAGAAAAACCTAGAGATACATAAACATTGAAAACATGGGTAGACCAGATGTCACAGCTTCAAAACAGAGATCCTTATAATGTGTTAACAAGGTCTTTGGAAAAGAGAACAAGAGTTGGAGAAAAGTTATTACTGTAATGTTAACTATAAGTAATTATTATAATTGACTAATAAAAGTAAGATGTAACTGACAAAAAAACCCAGAAAATTGCTTCTTAGAATACTCAACAAAATTCCTTAGGGGATCTAGATCTGGAGGTGGAGAGCATGGAAAAGTGGTGAGTGGGAGAGGAAAACAGAAATACTGCACTTTCATTGCCTGGAAGGCATCCGAAGTGGTTATCTGTTACTTTTGACTGTTTATTATTTTTAGACATAAATTAGAATAAACAAGGACATTTCTTTTTTTAAGTAGACATGTTCTAAGTGTGATAAATATAATAGTTAATGTTACTGTATCTTTAAAATATTAAAAAAAGAATATGCAATATGGAAAATATATAAATGAGAAAAGAAGACAAAAATAGAGGAGGAACTTCAGGGTAGGTAAGTCTAGACTAATTATAATAAATGCAAATAGACTAACTTGTATAAGAATAAGACTCAGAGAGCCAGCTCTGATGATCTAGCGGTTAAAGTTCGGCATGCTCCACTTCAGTGGCTCAGGTTCGGCTCCTGGGCAAGGACCTACACCACTCATCTTTAGTAGCCATGCTGTGGTGGCAACTCACATAGAAGAACTAGATGGACTTACAACTAGAATATACAACTACGTACTAGGGCTCTGGGAGGGGGAAAAAAAAAGAGGAAGATTGGCAACAGATGTTAACTCAGGGCAAATCTTTCCCAGGAAAAAAAACAACAACAAGACTCAGACTGTATTAAAAATTGTGAATAGGGCCGGCCCCGTGGCTTAGCGGTTAAGTGCGTGCGCTCCGCTGCTGCCAGCCTGGGTTCGGATCCCGGGCGCGCACCGACGTGCCGCTTCTCTGGCCATGCTGAGGTCGCGTCCCACATACAGCAACTAGAAGGATGTGCAGCTATGACATAACAACTATCTACTGGGGCTTTGGGGGAAAAAATAAATAAATAAAATTAAAAAAAAAATATTGTGAATAATTTAAAATTCCTTTTGGAAAGAGGAAAGTTATACATACATACATTGATTAGGCTGAAAGAGACTAAGTAAATACAAAACACAGAGATTATACATTCTACGATCTCACATCTCTGCACAACAAAAACAAACGACTGTAATAGGAATATAATACAAATTTTTCACAGAAAAGTCATTGACCTGGACAAAGCAATTCTTATGAAAAATTTTATTTAAATGTTTCTAATAATAAAGACGATGAGGGGCTGGCCTGGTGGTTTAGTGGTTAAGTTCATGCACTCTGCTTCAGTGGCCCGGGGTTCGTAGGTTCGGATCCTGGGCGCGGACCTACACACCACTTATCAAGCCATGCTGTGGCGGTGTCCCACATAAAGTAGAGGAAGATGGGCAAGGATGTTAGCCCAGGGCCGATCTTCCTCAGCAGAAAAGAGGAGTATTGGCAACAGATGTTAGCTCAGGCCTGATCTTCCTCACACATACACAAAATAAAGATGATGATAGTAGAAGTTGCAGCTACTGCTTAGTGAGGGCCGGCTCTGTGTCTGAGATATGTTGTATCAGCAATCCAGTAGAGAGGAGACATCTGGATATGTCTTCAAGTTGGGGTACTGATATTACGAGAAGTCAACTGGCTTCTCCTGAGTTCCTCGTAACAGGTTACCTGCTGTTCTGTGGTAGTGCTGGGACTCGTGCCCCTCGCTCTGGCTTCAGGACTGTCAGGATCTGCTTTCTGTTAATCAGGAAGGAAAGGGACATGCAGAACTACTGCAGAGAGATCTCAAAGTTTTGGAAAAAGCATGTCATCATCCAAACCAGAAGAAAAAAGGAAGCAATAAAAATAATAACTAAGTAAACTGGAAGATGAGAGAAAAATTGAAATAAGAATGAGTCAAGACATGATTTTTTAAAATAAAAGTCACACAATTGATAAATTACTGGTAAATTTAAGAAAACAATGGAAAGTAATAAAATTAGGAATTAGGATATATATAACCACTGTAATTAAAATAGTTATGGTCCGATGAACAGTTATAAGGTGATAAATTTGATATTCAAAAGTTGATTGATTTTCTTCAAAAAATATGGAGTGATTCAAGAAATTGAGAGCACAAATAGATCAGCAACCGATTAAGAAATCTAGAAAGTTATAACAGATTTCTCCACCTAAAAATAGTTAATGTTTTCCTACATTTTTCAAATAAATGATTCTCAGTCTGTATAAACTGACCCTAAATATAATTTCCCCTCCCCCCCAAAAAAGGATGGCTTGACATCTGATTTGTTCTGCAGTATAGATAGGATGTTAATCTTAAAATCTTGCAAAGACATGAAAAGAAATCTGACAAAAACATGAAATTCTAATTAGTATGGGCGCAAAAATCTTAAAATTCTATCAAGTAGAATAAGTTAGCATATTGAAAGATTTATTTATGATGACTTGTGTTTTTATTCTTGTGGAATCTATAGAACTTACATATTAAGAAAATGAGGGGCCGGCCCAGTGGCGCAAGTGGTTAAGTACACGCCCTCTGCTGCAGCAGCCCGGGGTGCGCTGGTTGGGATCCTGGGCGCACACCTACGCACTGCTTGGCAAGTCATGCTGTGGCGGCGTCCCATATAAAGTGGAGGAAGATGAGGCAAGGATGTTAGCCCAGGGCCAGTCTTCCTCAGCAAAAAAAGAGGGGGATTGGCAGATGGTAGCACAGGGCTGATCTCACAAAAAAAAAAAAAAAAAGAAAATGATAAAATTTTAATGGGAAAAATATAGGTTAAATGGAGAAATAGCCAATTCACTCTGGTATTAGGCTAAGCATCGGAAAATGACAGTACTTCCCAACTTCATACATTTAACACAGTTGCTGTTAATATGTCAATGGATGCTTTGTAGAATCTGTGTAAATGATTCCAAAATTCACATGAAAAAGTAAATGAGCAAAAGAATCAAAGGATGGCCCAAAATGAGAATGGGCAATATGGAGACTTGCTGTACTGGACAAGCTATATTACAAAGCACAGTCATTTATGTAGCCACAAAAGAGAACCGAAGACCAACGGACCAAAATAAGTGTAAGAAGTACCATCTAATTTACATAAGAATTTAATGTATTACAACTAAAACTGTGGGGAAAGGTATTTAGAATTGTATACCATCTATCACATACGCCAAGTGGATTCAAGTTAAAAAAACCTCCGCAAACTTGAAAAAGACTAAAAAAGGCAGAATACATTTTTAAATTAATGAAGCAATAGAAAAAATAACAAGCCAAATTAGTACGACTATATCAAACTTTAAAAAAACTTGTAATTACAAACAGCAGAATATAACAAGATGAGAAAGAAAGCACTAGAATGGGGAAATATTTGATATAGTTAAGAGTTTAATATTACAATGTATGAGGACATATTTCTAAGATTATGTTCAAGGGAATTGGGTGTCTAACAGATGGTTCACACCAAAGGAAACGTAAAATAGCAAAAGAATATTGAATTATTTCATCTACTGATAATTTAAAATGTAATCTTAATGCTGTGATATTATAAGTATCTAGTACTAAAAGAAGAATGATTTTTAAATTCTAGTAAGACTAATGAGAAATAAATATATTGTAATTTTTCTTATTTGAGTACTATTTGGCCACATGTAACAAGAAACATTAAAATGATTATTTTTTGTCCAGTAATCTCATTTTTGGAAATTTATTTGAGGGAAAGAATTTAAAGGAATAAAAACATCATGTGTAGATCTTTTAAAACAATATAATTTATATAAATTATATACAGGGCCGGCCCCGTGGCTTAGTGGTTAAGTGTGCGCGCTCCGCTGCTGGCGGCCCGGGTTCGGGTCCCGAGCACACACTGATGCACCGCTTCTCCGGCCATGCTGAGGCCGCATCCCACATACAGCAACTAGAAGGATGTGCAACTATGACATACAACTATCTACTGGGGCTTTAGGGG